CCGGTCGGGGTGGGGGGGGGCGTGAAAAATTAGCCTGGAGCTCTGGCCTCTGGCTGGAGAGCCTGGCAATTGGGGAGGGACAGGACGCCTAGGGTACCCGCAAGCTTTGGGCGCGCCTCTGCAGCGCTTCCTGCTGCGCGTGAGATGGGAGGCTGGCGGGCTGCGGTAGGAGGGGCGGGGTGTCTCGGTTTGTTTCCTGCCCTCTGCCAGGACGTGCCGGCGAGGTTCTCAGCCCTGGAACAAGTGGCAGGTCTAAGATTGACTGCAGTGCCCATGTCTCCCCGCGGGAGGCAGAGATCAGCCTGAGGGGGTGGTGGGAAGGAAGTGGAAGGCCTTCTGCGGCCTAGGACTCCAGATATCACCCACTTTCCACCTGTTGGGCTCTCTCCATAGGAAGAGCTCTACCTTTTCCATAGAGGCCTGTGGTGGAAGCATTTTGGATTCTCAAAGGCTTTCTGGTTCCATTGTCTGCTAATGCTCCTCCAAGGATGTCCCAGAACACGAGACTAGTTTGTTGCTTCTAAGAGGGAAAATGCATAGCGAGGCAGGCCCACTTGCACCAGGACTTTGTTGCCTACTAGGCCTTAATGGAAAGGCTGTCATTCTCCTTACTGCCAGTTCTTCTAATTGAGTGGAAGCTTTCAATTCAAAGTATTTATCAGACCTTCATTGTGACAAGGCACACTACTGAGCTTATCTATTGATTGAGGCAAAAGTGCAGGCCTCATAGGAAGAATTAAATCAGAATTTTCATAGAGTACTTAAATACCAGACCTCTAGCAAGCACCCAGGAAACTATATTCTCCTCCATCCTGCTGCATGATGGACATACTCCTTGTATGTCCAGAGATGTATCCAGACTGGTGCAGGTAGTTAGTTATCCCTTCCAGCTTGTCATGTACGAGAAAAACTTTATTTACAGAGAAAAGGAAATTTCTGCTTGGGTACCTGATAGCTGGGCCAGTCTAGGGATATTTAAGGACTGGTCCCCCTTCTGCAGGAGCCAAGACCTGGATTAAGACTTCAACTGATGGTGGTGACACTAGACCTGGATCATTCTGTAACACCCTGGAATGCCTTAAAAACTACATCAAAATAGTATTGGCTGAGGCTCCCAGGAGAGGGTGGAGGATTCTGGGGCTTTTCCTTTGCCACGAAAGGAGCCTACAAGCATAGGCCCTTAATGACTACTTTCTATTTGGGTCGTAGTGCCAACAGATGCCCTCTGTCACCCTGGATGATGATGGTAGGTGGAAGCTATGGTTCTGTGCCAGTAGGCACAACCAGGAATTTGGAGCAGCACAGGGTGTTTACAGTGGCAGTTTTGTAGATTGCTATAGTTCCCTGGTTGTTAGGGGTGGAATTCAGTGTAGAAAAAAAATTTTTTTCTCTTCCTCACTGTCCCTCCCTCTTGGTGTGTTTCCTTTCTCCATCCTGGAGAGGGGCTGAGGGTGTTTCAGGTTTATTGGCAGGCTCCAGAGAGATTGCCAAGAGCCTAATTGCCTGAACCCTAAATCCTGAAGTTGTTGGGGAGTGAGTAGGCACTGGTTCAGGGTATACTCCCCTGGAGCTGGTGAAAGGCAGGCGGACCATCCCTGTGTAAAAGAGCCAAGGCTGCTGTCTCTACGGAGGAGGAATGGGTGTCTTTGTTTTGGTGAGGATAAAAAAAGATGTGGTCCTGGAATTCTATGGCAGAAACAGGCGCAATTCTGTCTTGGTCCTTTGTTTCAGGCATCTCTGAACTTTAGCTCTCCTTTTTATTAACCACTCTTCTATTTTCCAAGAGTTCCTCCTTCCCCTCGTTAAAATGAATTCAACTTGGCATGTTGGCCATTTAATGCCTTACCTGTCGTAGAGGGCATTTGCATTTACATTTATTTGTTTTTATGTGTATGGGTGTTTTGCCAGAGTGTTTGTGTGCAGAGGCCGTAAGAGGCCTTCAGGTCTCCTGGGAGAGTTAACACAGATGTGAGCCTCCCTATGAGAGGTGGAAAGCCAAATCCCTTAGCTGCTGATCCATAGTCCCAGTCACAAGGGATTTGCCTCTTAAATGAAAATGCTTAGAAGTGGGGATGTAGCTCAGTGGTTAGGGTACTTGTGTCTCCTATCAAGGGCCTGGGATCCAAGCCTTCCAGCAACTTCTTTTTTGGTGTGTGTATTTTATGTATGTGTCGTGTTCATGTGCATGCTCATGTGTGTGTGTCTCAGTTGCTCTTCACCTTACTCTTTTTTGAGATACAGTCTGCTAAAGCTTAATTTCACTGATTGGGCAAGATTGGCTGCACAGTGAGCCTCAGGGATCCTCCTGCTTCCGTGTTACAGCTGTGTGCACTTTTTACATGGGTGCTGGAGATCTGAACCCAGGTCTTCATACTTGAGCAGCACACAGTTTTCTGTTTGAGCCATCTCCAGAAAGGCAGCTGAGACTGGCCTTACTTGCCTCTACCTCCTAAG